TAGATCACACCCACTTTCAGCTCCGAGTTTATGAAAACTTTCAACGAAATTTTATTAGCCCTTCTTAAAAATAAAACGTCTTATTTTAACATAAAACATCTTATTTTAAAACAATAAAAAAACGTTTTTATTTAAGACAAAAATTATTAGTATGGTAATCTCACAAATGTTGGAAATATTTGTTTTACAACACCTTTTAGGAAAACTTTGCATTGCATTTTATGAGATTTAATTAAATTTTCTGAAAATCCTTACTATTTTTTGTAAGTTTTATAAATTTGTTGATATTCCCAAAATGAAACTTTAAATAGATAGTGGATTTCTGGTATATAAAAAAAAACATTTTTTATCTATCTCAATCCTAAATAATTTTATATCCAAGAATTATGAATGTTTTTTAAGCCTTTTTTTATTTTTACAAAATTTCTGAAAAAAAGTCCGATTTTCTCCTACGTTGTAGGAATGTAGATCACGTCCACTTTCAGCTCCGATTTTATGAAAACCTTCAACGAAATTTTATTAGCCCTTCTTTGGCCATAAAACGTCTCATTTTAACATAAAACATCCTAATTTTATATATTAACTTAATTATACTACTTTATAGATAAACAGGGTGTACCAGCGAGGGAGGCAAAGATTGTGACATTGCCCCACCATACGGATTTGTAATATTTAACTTTTTTATTTTGCTCAATTTGAACCAAATTATTATTTTCACTTGCTTTGTGTTGTGTTAACACAGTGTCTATTCTTTTATAAATTAATTAAAAAATCAATGGAAGATTAAATATTTGTATCGAAGCGTTTCAATGTCTGAAAAATGTGTTTTTGTTTAACTTTCGAAGCTCTTTTATTTATTTTAATGTTAAGTATTTATTTATTTATTTATTTAAAATTATGATAATTTTTGGGATTTTTTAAAATTTTTTAAAATTATTTTCTGGTTCTGCAATTTCTGAAAAAAGTAGTCCGATTTTTTCTTAGGAATTTTTGATTCTTTAGCACTTAAATTATATTTAATAATATAATTATTAAATAATAGATTCTCTAAAATAATTAAATTTTTGAAGATTTTTTAAGAATTGAAGATTTCTTTTTAAAGTTAGATAGATTTTTCGTAATTTTGCCTAGTTTATGAGGAATTTTGACACAGGGATTTTTGAATGGCATTTTTTTGAAATATTTCGACAAATATGTAATTATAATTCTTTCAACTTTGACTACTTTTTAAATATAATAAAACATACTTTTTCTTAAATCTTAAAATCACTGATTTGGAGTAAACTTTAAAGTAAATACACATTGTTTAAAAATTAATTAACCGCTAAAACTTAAATACGAATAAGTAAAATGATAAAAAAGTGTTAAATGTTGGAAATGTTTGTTTTACGACATTTTTCAGGCAAACTTCACGTTCCATTTCATGAGATTCAATTGAATTTTTTGCAAATCTTGATAATTTTTGTAAAATTAAAAAAAAAAAAATTGATATTTCAAAATTGAATTTTTGATGGATTTCTGATACAAAAAATATATTTTTTATTTATCTCAATTTCAGATAACCTTAATATAAGTTTCTAAGAATTACGAATGTTTTTTAGGATTTTTATAAGCCTTCATTTAATTATGAAATTTCTAAAAAAGAGTTTCTTTTCTCTTACTTTTTCTTGGGAATTAAATTTTTTATATTTTTTTGGGTTTACAAGGAATTGACAAGGAATTTTAACATAAAACATCTTACTTTTTATTAAGTTAATAACACCTCTTTTAGATATAAATGTTGGAATGCTAAAATGGCGACATTGCCCCACCATACGGATTGTAACATCTGACTTTTTTGTTTTGCTCAATTTGGATCAAATTATTTTGATATGCTTTGTGTTGTGTTAACACAGTGTCTGTTCTTTTAAAAATTAATTAAAAAAATCAGTGGAAGATTAAATATTTGACTTATATTTTTATATTGAAGCGTTCCAATGTCTGAAAAAATGTTTTTGTTTAGCTTTTGAAGTACTTTTATTTATTTTAAACTTAAGAAAAGTTTTTAAACCATTGAAAAACAATGAATAAGCATAACAAAATTCTAATAAATATGGATTTTTTAATTATTTGCTGGTTATGCGATATTCTAAAAAAAATAATCCGACTTTTTCTCAGAAATTTTTGATACTTTTTAATTTACCACTTATTAAATAATAGATTCTCTGTGTTGACATGTTTGAAAATTTTTGATATTTCAAAATTGCATTTTTGATACAAAAATCATATATTTTTTATTTATTTTAATCTCAGATAACCTACTACAACCTACTACAAATGTTTTTTTTCTTGATTTAATTACGAAATTTCTATCTTTTATCTTTTCTTGGGAATTAATTGTTGATATTTTTAGATTTTAAAAGAAATTTACAAGGAATTTTAACATAAAACATCTTATTTTATTATATCAAGGTAATTAGGCCTTTTTTTAGATATATGTACTGGGAGGCAAAGATCGCCCTACCATACAGATTTGTATCATCTAATTTTTTATTTTGCTCACTTTGAATGAAATTATTATTTTGATATGCTTTGTGTTGTGTTAGCAGTAACTATTCTTTTAAAAATTAATTTAAAAATCAATAGAAGATTAAATATTTGCATCGAAGCGTTTCAATGTCTGAAAAAAATTGTTTTTGTTTAGCCTTTGAAGCTCTCCCTTGTTTCAGATTTAACTGGAATAAGTGTTTCGCTGGCGGCTACCAAAAATTGTTTTTAGCTTTAGCCAATCGCCACTGAAACAATATTGTGAGAGAAAATGCTCGTTTTTCTCGTATATTTTAAATCGGAAAAACATGTTTGTGTTATGCTTACGTAAAAAACTCAATTACTTACTTGATCTAATTTTAAGAGTTCTTCCGGCGTATCGGGAAGTTGTCCGAGAGTTAGGGGTGGATTAATGTTAACTTCTTTACCCAACGACCTCACCACCTCCTCCCGATTATAACGATCGGCGAAGACACAACTGGCAGGAATCAGACCGTGGACCGTGTAACTGATTGCTCTCACTAATATCCTGCGAACAATTTTCAGTATTTCAAGAGAGTATTTTTGAGTTCATTTTTTTAAACCAATTAATGAAAAAAAAAATAGCTAAATTAGAAAAAAATACAAATTAAAAACAATTTTCTAAATTATTTTCTTCTGAAAGAAAAGAATCCGACTTTCTCTAAGTGCATTTTTTTCATGAAAATTGAGGTTTGTTGGCTTATAAAGAGAAAGAAATTCAACATATTTTTTTTCAGAATTTGTATTTAGACTTTTGTAACTCTTAGCATTTTAATATACCTTAAAAAAAGTGATTCTAATACGAGTTTTTTTGTTTTTTTTTGTTTTTAGTACAAGAAACCTACAATATTGGGGTTTGTATTAATGCAAAGTAAATAATTCAAACCAATGATAAAACTGAGGAAAACTAAGGAAAATTAAGGATTATGAATGTTTTTGGAATTCCTAGAAGTTGTGTTATTTTTCTTATTTTTTTGATTTGTAATTTCCTACTTTTCATCAAGAATTTATGGGACAAAAATGAATTTTTTGAAATAATCAGGTGTGTATTGGTACTTTTAATTAATTATAAAAAATGAAATTATTTATTTTTTTGTTATTTTCTAGGTTTATAAAAATAATTTTTTTTTAGTTTTTCGAGAAAAACTGTTGTAACAGTTTACAAATTTCTTGAAAGGGTTTTGATTATTGCTACAAAAAGGTATTTTTTTTTTATTTATTTTAATCTGAAGTAAATGTTTTAAACCAATGGAAAACAACACTTTAAGTTAATAAAACTCTAAAAATTATGAATGTTTTTTTTTGAAATTCCTAGAAATTTTTTAAATTATTTTCTGGTTACGCAATTTCTGAAAAAAAGTTAGGTGTTTTTGGTACTTTTTAATTTACTACTTATCAAGTCTTTGAAATAATGAGATTTGTGTTGATATTTTCGAAGATTTATTAAGAATTGAGGATTTCTTTAATTGTGTTTTATGTTTTGTATTATAATTTTATTATTACTTAATGTAAAGGATGTTACCGTCAAATAAAGTTATTATTATTATTACGATTTTTTGTAATTTTTCCTTCTTTATAATGGATTTTGACGCAGGAATTTTTGAGTGGGATTTTTTTTTAATATTTT